CAACGACGAGGAGAGTTGAATTAATAACCTCGGAATAGCCTCACACAACACAAACATTTCACCTTTAGTGTAGTGGCTTGTTAGGCGGCGTGACCGGCTCACATCAGCCTTGTCAGGTGAAGTCAGGTTCCCGGTGAAGTCGGCAAGTCCCCATCAGCTGAAAAAGTCCCCTTGTGGGTGGGTGGTGAAGCTGAAGTTCTGGCCAACTGGCGCAGGGCCTTGGCAATACCAATTTCCCGGTGGATCCGGTGGAGACCAGCTGCCGACCGAATGATACGCAGCGTTGGTGTCTTGGCATCACACTCAAATGGATCCCACCAGCCAATGAGCGCAACTGGTGAGCAATGACGTCGATGGGCGAAGGAAGCGATTGCCTGTCTCGGACGCATGACGACGTGTGGGAAGGAAGGAATCGTCGCCCTCTTTGTCGCAAGAAGCCAGCCTTGTAACGGGGACACGATTGGTATCATACCTGTGCCTAGTAAGACATCATCGTTGGGGGAGAAATAGAAGTATCGGTGCTACCCTTGTGCTCCTTTCATTCGTTTCACTATTTCCTCCTCCTGTTTGTCATCCCATCAACGCCGCAGTTTCCATCTTCCACACCGGCGTAACCGTTCGCTCTTCTTCTAAAAGGCCTAGACATCCTAATCGACATTCGATATTCGTATCAACAAAGTTACTATAACGAAAAAACCTACAGTCAAGGTTACTCTAACACGCGGCCGTCATCGTACAAAACCAATCGTCAAGTAGAATCCAGAAGATCAAACAACACCTCGAAAGGCAAAGGACCTATAAGATTTCAAGATTTCACAGCCTCAGTCCGCAGTGGACCATCATCCGACCGGTACTCCACAAGTTCCCGACATCCGATACCTACCCGGCCGGTCTGGTCTTTGGACTTCTCGTTTGAGCCTTGGTCTTGGTTTTAATAACCATACATAAGCCATGGCCTCAACTACTGCGCTTACGCAAACAGCGCTCGTCCCTCCAAGTAAGTCTGCGCGTCCATCAGGTGGTGCATGTCAGTCGGGCTTGACATCCGGACATCTCGTCCCAACATACTACCTTCTAGGCCTTGAATTCCAAAAAACATCACCGCTTAGGTACCTTACTAACCACCTTGTAAAGACAAGACTGGAAGGTTACGATACGCAGACGCCAAAGACCTACCTAGCTACCCTTCTTCCGGTCTCAAAAACAACGACGCAGCTGCCAGTGCCGCCGCATCTTTGGGATGGGCTAACAGGAAATCGGTCGAATTCCCAAAACCAGAGATATCCACAGCTCCCGCTTCTTCAGCCGCGACTCTGGGATGGACAAACACGAAAGTAGTTGAACATCCAAAGACAGAGTTATCAAAGACACACGCTTCTCACGCCAATACCGCTGCAGTCCTGGCTAACGGCCAAAAGATGGCGTCACCAACGAGTAACGGGTTGGAGGTTTCGCAACCCCAGAGCAATGCGGCAGGATCACAAGCTGCTATCTCGGCATTACGTGCAGCTCAAAGACAACAAAAGCAGATTTTCCAACAGAAGCAACAGCAACCGCCCCAACCTCAGCAGCCTAAACCTACCTTGGATACCTCAAACTGGGGGAACTCGGCTGCGAATTTGGCCTTCAAGGGACACAAGTCACCTACCTCTTTTACACCAACCGTTGCAGAGACACAAGGTTCCGCCTTGACACGACAAGCATCACTGCGCGCAGCAAGGGATGCCGTGGCCGGACGACGCCCGCGATCGAGATCGCAACCCCAGCCAGTAACCGACAACACCGCATACCCCGATAAAGAAAACGCAGCCTCCAATGCCCTTAGCGCCGCGACCAAGTCGATGCGCCCGCCTAGTATTCGTTCGACCGACGAAGCCGGCGCCGTTCCGTACACGACCATGAGCAGACAAATGTTTACGTCCCGACCCCCTGTCAAGCCCGAAGTCGACGAGAAGAATCGGCAAGACGTTCTCCACGCTTCCGCTTTGGCCATGGCCAAGCGCATGTACACCCAGCAGCAAAAGATGATTGATCAGTCCAAGCAGGTCCAAGGACGCAGGTCCTCCTTTGAGCGCCACGGCACCGGCGACCCGACAGCCAACAACGACGAGGTGGAACGCCCTCCGGTGGTATACAACAGCCTCCAAGACGCCGCCTACCGTCTCGCGCAGGAACGTCTCGCCAAGCTGCACGACGAGCACCAAAAGAACCGGGAGATGCAGGAGTACTATACGGGCGTTTCCCCCTCATCCAACCAGGGCAACAACAACGCCGGCGGCGCATTCGGCAGCATCCGCAACAAACTCACCAGACGTCGGTCCTCCAGCGACGGCGACATCATCGTCGCCAACGACCGCCAGCGCTCCCAGCACATCCGCAAGCAGATGTCCCTCTTCAACACCAAGATCGCCGAAGTCGACGAGCAGAAGCGGGCGCGCGACCGGGAAGCGCTTCTGCAAGCTGCCCAGCGCAACGTCAAGGCGCAGTTGCAGGGGATGGACGAGAAGCTGTACGCGGAAAAGGGGGTGATGATTCCGCACACGAGCAAGAGCGATTGGGAAGTGAAGGCACACGCGGCGGCGCAGGCGAGGTTTGTTGCGAGCAACAGCAAGAGGTCGATGGATGCGGGCCAAGTGAATATCGGCGGCGGGAAGATGGTAGACAGGGCGAAGGTGGAGGATATCGCGGCGAAGAGGGTGCAGCCGTTGCTGGATGAGATTAATGATCATGCGGAGAAAGAGAGGGAGAGGAGGGCGGCGGTGAAGATGGAGGAGGAGAGGAAGAGGGAGGAGGTGGAGAAGAATAAGATGCGAGAGAAAGAGGTGGCGATGTTGCATAAGCAGTTGAAAGGTATGTTTGTGCGTTAGTGTTGATTGATATCAGGAGTAAGGGCTAACGAATGATTGACAGACCAGCAAAAAGACAAAGAAAAGGCTCTAGCGGCAGAAGTCAAGAGAGAGGAAAGGCAGAGAAAGGAGGAGGAGAAGGCGGCCAAGGCTGAGCAGAAGCGACTGGCTAAGGAGGCCAAAGAGGAAAAGCAAATTGACAAGGGGAAGGGGCCTGCCACGGCTGTTGACTTGGACCAAAGTTCTTCTCCGGGCGAAAAACCAACAGGCCTGCCACTGGTTGCCCATAGGAGGACAGACAGTTCGGGACTGACCAGATTATCGATGCCGTTCCAAAGACGCACGTCGCCTCCTCAAAGGGCTTCAACAACACCAGACGGGGGAGCGAGTCCCATCTTGGAACCGCAATCAGCGGCCTCGCCAACTAGCAAGGTGAAGGCCTGGCTCAAGAACCGCTTCTCCCGTCCCAGAGCAGCATCCGGCGCATCTATCGCTTCGTCGAGAGTAGATACAACAGCAGATGGAGCCACTGATTCCGCCAGCCCGGATATGAACCGGGGGTTCATCGGCGGCGTGGCTCTAACACGCAAACTGGAGGAGAACAACCCGAGTGTCCCCTCCATCGTCGGAGATGACCACAGTGGACCGGGAAGTATCCGCGAAGTCGCCCTCGCCGGCCTCTCTGCGCCCACCCCCGTCCATCCGCCGATGACAACGACGCCAGCCATAAACTTATCAGCGGCGGCGCAAGACGAACCCGGTGAGAGCAGTGGCCTTACGACCGTCCCTGGTAACTCCGCCGGAGCCCTAGGCACCGCCGCCTTGAAACCTTCCTCTCGCCCTATTAGCGCCATCGGCGGCTTCGACGCAGTGGCTACCGTTACCACTATCATCACCACTACTACTACCACCGAACCAGCAGTTCAGGTCCAACAACCACAACTTGTCCTCCCCTACGTCACCACCTCCATCACCGCCAACTCAGCCGAAGCAGGAGAAACCAACTCCGTCAGCAGCCTAAGCAGCTCAGACCTAAGCGATAGCGTCTACAGCAACGTAAGCGATAACGGCGCTTCACCTCCTGGACAAGACAACTACAACGACAACGAAAACGACGACGAGTTCCTAGAAGCAAGAAGCACCTTCTCCAGCGATGGACCGCTTACACCACCATCCGCGGGGTTCCCTTCAGTGATGAATGGGATGAAGGTGGCTGTTAGTGTTACGCAGCCTACCCCCGGTGTGGGCAGCGAAAAGGAGCACGGGCAGTTTTTGATGGCTGAACCGAGAGTTAGTACTGGGTCTGGTTTTGGTCTGGGGAGTGTGAGTGGGAGGAGTCTGAGGGAGAGGTCGGTGAGTTCGGGCGGGTTGAGTGTGGGGAGGTCGTCGATCAGTGGATGTGGAAGGATTAGTCCGTTTAGGGAGAGTAGGTTTTCGGAGAATTTTGATAAGGAGGATTAGGATGGGGTTGGGGGTTTTTCTTTTTCTTTTGTTTTTCTTTTTTGGTGTGGTGAACTTATTCTTGGATGGTTGATACCCTTTTAGGGGCGTCCGGATGGATTGATGGATGGGTAATGAGAATGAATGATTGATGAATGCTTTCCTTTCTTTGTCCTGTATCATATACCTAAAACTGTTCTGGTGGACTTTGCTCTGGCTTTTGTGTAATAACTACCGATGGCACTGATGATCCGTTTCCTACCTTCTCTCTTACCTGTAGTAGCATTCTTCATTAAAAATATTAGTTTGCATGCATCGGCTATAGTTTAGGCACACTCTGACTTGTGAAATGTGCCAATTCGGTTCTACTCCAGCTTCAAATACGAACTCGTAACATCGCGAGTCCGAGCGAAGAGAGACTGGCGTTACAGATTCAACGCTATGTTTTGTTTGCCCATGATCATCCACGTTGTTCCCATTCCACACGGGAGCCCACATCTCACACAACATTCCCACCCTCACTGTTGCCTGACGGAAGTTGTTTGCGCACCTTGCTGGCCACCTGCCGACAACTGTTTCGCTCTTTCCCTTCCGCATCTCCACCTCAAACGACCACATGCCCGGATGCCTACCGTACGTACGTACCTTCCCAATCACACACACAAAAGCCCTTCATAAGCAAACCTTTCACAATCACTTTTCAACAAGAAAACAACCCTACTGGTGTATCGGTTAACATGGCGGATTCTCATTCCAAAGTTTCCGCAGCGCAGGGTTCAACTCCCTGGTAGGGTAAACTTTTTGCCTTTTTTTCGTCTTGTTCTTTGTGACTTGCTTTTTCTCAATGTTGGATTTTGCAATGGGGGGCTGGGATGATCATTTGGGAACTTCAATTCATGTGACAACAAAACACCTTGGCATACTATTTGATGAACTCGAAGTTGACAAGGTGAGGCTTCTGGACAGTTTCGATATCAGAGAACCCATTTATCGGTATCCCGAATCCGGTAGGTGGTACCAATACTTCAAAGCCACTCTGTAGCCACTTACTAACCAAGGACGCCTCAATATCCATGTGCGATAGAAAAGTGCCGGTGGTGGGAGCTCTTGCCTGGCATGTGACAGTCTTCTAGAAAGCCCAGATTCATCATGAGAGGCTGTTGTTAATCTCGTGAGGTCCTGGATTCCGATGGAGGGGAAGAGGCCGTGGAGGTCCCGAGCGGAAAGTGAAAACTGGAAAGTGAACTTGGCGGATGTAGCAGACTTTTGGACTTGTTGGCCATGGACCAAACTACTCTGTATGTCAAAAGCGAGTTCATAAGCAGAATGAACAAGGCAAAGTGACCGGTCGAGGCATGTCGTTTTCAGCCCTACGAGAAACGGGACGGATGTCGTCTGGTGTGGGGAGGAAAAGGGATCCGCAATGGAAATCCGATGTTTATGGGGCCAGGGTCAGCAGTGCGCACAGACCACTAGAGGTACGCTCGCTACACATCGTGTTCTGTCGCCCGCCGTAGACATTCCAGCACCCCAGATGAGGGGTTTCGATCTGTTGTCCCCCTCTTCACCAAGCACTGCATCTTCAAAGCTGACAAGGCGTCCATCCGGGTTGAAAAATGAATATCACAACATAGCCTCAAACCACGCCGAATATGTGGTGATGAGACGATAATCGTCTTGTTTCCGACCTCCTCACAAGACCTCGCGCCATTCGGAGCGCCTCCTTTCTTCCACGTTCGTGTCCATCGTTGCTCAAAAGGCCCAAACATTCCTTTCGCTCGCCAGTCGCCTCCGTTGTCACTCACTGTCACACACATCCTGCCGTCTAATTCCAGAGACAACGCTGTCAGCTCTGCATGGTCACCCTCTTCTCAACAGCGACTTCTGGGCCCCGACCGAACGTGGTTAACACGGAAATAGCAAACCGTCTATTCTAGAATAGGTGCACAACAACAGCTGTACCACTCTCGCTTTCTTCGCTCTTTTTCGTCCATCAGTGCAAGCAAGCAAGCCCCGGCCCGATTACCCACCACGATGGCGCCGGAGAGGAGATAACTGCGACCACGACTACGACTACGACTACGATGATGTGACACACACACACACTGATGACTATATTATCGGTATGCATTTCAGTCTCACTAACGGTCGATAGTGTCCACCTGCGTTACCTTACCTCAGCTGTTGCCCTGTCAAAACTCGAGGAACGTTCGATCCGGTCAATAAACCCAAGTTCGGTATTGGCACCCATCCCTCAGTTCGGCTTTATCTGTCATAGGTAACAACAGCTTTCATCGGTGGTTGTGTGGCGCTCCGTGTGGACACATCTCGAGTCACATCAGGACATCTGCTTCGGGCCATCCCATGCGGCTGGCAAAATAGTCGAAAAATATTCCTCTTATCGGCAGTACAAGGGTGGTGAGACCAATCAACAGCCGCCGTCGTGATGGGCGTTGCCGTGTTCCTCGTCGGCTCGGCATCTCGGCTGAGCTTGGCGTTCGATGAGGTGGGTGGTGTTGGTGGTGGTGCTGGTGGTTGAACTATCTACAGCATCAACAGGGTCATTCTCTCGCTTGCGACCGCTGCTCGACCGCTGTAGAAGAAAAAACGATGTGGTTGCAAAGTGAGAGCCACAACTGCCACCTTATCCCACACTGTGTCGATGCACAGCAATCCACTTCTCACTCGCCTTAAACCCATTTGGCTGGCGGCACATGCCCGCCATGCAGTCGTTGTTCGACTTCGCGATAATACGAGAAGAGCGACAAGGTCCCCCAAGAACCAATTAGGATCGCTCGAGATCCTGGACAGAAGACGTTGTGTGTGTGTCGATGGAAAGCTGATGCAGGGGTCAGCCAATTCCCAACCAGCGTTGCGATTCCCCGGGTCCAGGTTCCAGGCCACCCTTCCGTTATCCTTGCCCCCATGTTGGTCTGTACCATCTTCGCCTTGTGATCCCTCTTACAGGTGAAAATAGGTCGCAGTGCGCAATCATGGACGCAGTAATAAAATAGCCTCTCTCTCTCTCCTCGAGAAGGAAGGAGGTCTGTTGTCTATCTGCTGCTGTCCGTCCAGCTGGCTTGAATACGATCGAGTCTCCTTCCCCGGTTGTATCTTGTCGTGTTGTCGTCGAGTTGAGCGATACGAGGCGCATTATATCCCGATACCACACTTTTTTTCCTTATTCTTCTCGCCTCCTCTTGCAGACGCCTCAAAGCCAAAGCAGTCATCACTCGTTATTTCCACAGTCAAACTGCAGCTGTTCAGCTCTGGGCCGCTTTTCCCTTCCGACAATCCGGCGTCCGTCAGTACATTCGTTCTCGACCGTTGTTATCGTACATACGGTACTGCTGCCAGATCTGATGTTCTGAACCGATTCCCCGATCTCGCGCAAGCCTCACAGACGCCGCATACGCCCACCATCATGAGATACGCATACCCTGCCCTGGCCGGCCTGCTTTCGCTGGCGGCTAGGACTGGAGCCGACCCAACATGGCCCGCCGCCACGGACGAGATGGAGGAGATTGTGTACCAACTTCAGGGGTTCAAGGGCAGGGTCTTCAATGATGTTATTACGCCTTGCAACAATGAGGCCGCTGGACCTGGAAGGGTGACGGCGTCGGAATGGTTGCGGGTGGGATTCCAGTATGTGTTTTTTTTCTTTCTGATATTCAGTGATGATGGTAGAAAACAGGGCCAGGTCAAAATTCCGGATAACGGTAAAGAAGGTCCAAGGAATGGAAAGATACCTCATGGGAAATCATACGAAACTGAACATCTGTTCGACTTCGACAGATGAATATAGTCCGCGCAAAATGCTAACTTTACCAGCGACATGTCCACCCACAACCGCGTCTTCGGCACTGGCGGACTCGACGCCTCTCTCCAATTCGAGCTCACAAACGGCGAGAACACCGGACCGGGCCACAACACCACCCTCAAGTTCTTGGCCAACTACTACTCATCCCAATCGACCATGGCGGACCTGATTGCCGCCGGCGTCTACGCTTCTGTCCGATCTTGCGGAGGCCCCATGATCCCCCTCAGACTCGGGAGGAAAGACGCAACATCCAGTGGCAGCACCGGCGTGCCGCAACCCCAGAACTCGGCCGAGACGTTTAGGCAACAATTCGACCGCATGGGGTTCAGCACCGAAGAAATGATCCAGGTGACGGCTTGCGGACATACCCTCGGCGGTGTCCACACGGAGGAGTTTCCCGAGATTGTGCCCGCCGGTACGGGAACTAACGGCCAGAAGCCTCTTGATACCACTGATGCAACGTTTGATAACAAGGTTGTGACCGAGTACATCTCTGGGACAACGCAGAATCCGTTGGTGGTTGGGCCTGCTGTTGCGGTGAACAGACACTCGGATTTCAAGGTGTTCAACATTGATGGGAATGCCACGATGAACGGGTTGACGTCTGCTTCGACTTTTAGGGACGTTTGCAAGACTGTTCTTCAGAAGATGATTGATACTGTGCCCTCGGGGGTGACACTGACGGACCCCATTGCCCCTTATGCGGTTAAGCCTGTGGATATGCAGTTGACCTTGAATTCGGGAGGTTCCAGTTTTCTCCTGACTGGGTACATCAGAGTTCGCACGACGAATCGGGCCTCTGGTGCCATCAAGAATGTCAAGATGACTTGGAAGGATAGGAATGGCGGTTGTGCTTCCGGGTCGTGTTCATACACTGCCACCGTACAAGGAGCTGGTACCGGGTTTGATGATACTTTTGAGGTATGCCCTTTGGCACTCGAACTCTTAACTCATCGCAGCTGACCAGGAACATAGTTCTTCCCTATCTCAACAAACATCCCCGCTTCCTCGGGCATTTCTTCCTTCACAGTCACTGTCAACCTCAACGACGGCACCAGCGAGTCGTACGACAACAACGGAAACTCCTACCCCTTGTCAGATGCCATCATCCTCCAAAAACCCCAGAGCTGTCTTCTTCAAAGCTCTGGTGCACTCACCGTTTCTGCGCTTGTAAGCTCCCCCTCCTCCTTCTCACCTTCAAGACTCGCCTCCGCTGACTAACGAAATAGGTCCGCAACGACATCACCACAACTCCCTCGCTAGGCATCTCCTATCTCACTCCCCGCGGCGTCGTCCGCAACGGCAACCCGGTCCCCATCCTCAGCAGCACCACGGTCGCCATGACAAAAGGCGACTGCATCGGCCCTTACACCTTCTACTCCGCCAGCTATACCATCACAGGTGGTCTGAGTTACGCCGCCAAGCTTAGCGTCACCGCAGGGTCTAACTCCGATAGCTTCAACAAGGCCAGCGATCTTTCAGGCAGCTGCGCTACCTTTTCTGGAACTGCGTCCTGCACCACGCCTGGTAGTGGTGGCGGTGGTGGTAACGACCCAGACGCTTCTTCCACTGTTGCCAGCACTGTTGCCAGCACTGTTGCGCCGAGCTCATCCGCAGCCGAGCCATCATCTACCAGCAGCGTAGTCAAGGTTATCAGCTCCAGCGATATCACTAGCTCTACCACCACCGTTGTTTCATCCACCACCACCTCCTCCTCAGCTCCCACGGCCACCGGCCCAGCAAGGAAACAAACAGTCGCCGGCTACACCCGCCTCCGCTGCGTAACCGAAGGCTCCGGCGTGCGCGCCCTAACCGGCGCCTCCTTCGCCTACGACACCATGACGCTCGAGTCGTGCGCGGCCAACTGCACCGCCGCAGGCAACTTCGCTTACTTCGGCACCGAATACTCGCGCGAATGTTATTGCGGCAACACCCAGGCAGCTAGCAGCTCCGAGGCGCCCGATAGCGAGTGTAA